ATATCACACGTTTATTGGTTGAATGGACAACTGGACACTTAGCATAGTAGGCTTTTATTATACAGTATATATATAATGTGTATGTGTGTAGCCAGGAAGTCCTATATCCTTCTTTGTTCTTTCTCTAAACCTCAAAAATTAGGACACCCTAGAGACACTATGGTGCTAGAGGTCAAGACAAGGAGGGCAATGAGGTTTCTGTGTTCAGAGACCCCAAGGGAGGCAGCAGGTGAGGGAACCAGGCAGATGACCAGAGAAGTGGCAGGCATGGATGTCAAGGTAGCCTGGCATGCGGAACCCATAAGATAGGTGACATCTGAGTGCGCAGAAGAAAAGACAAATCCTTGGTGCTAGAAACAAACATGGAAGTGAAACCAGAGTAGTGGGAAAGTAGGCGGGCTGATGCTGGGCAATATGGTGGGTCGGCCTGATCTGAATTAGTCTCCAGCACCCTAGCGTCTTTAATTGTGGTGGCATACGGGAACAGAAAAGGAGGCATGGGCCCACTGAGGTCCTACAGGAGATCCAATCTCCAGTGAAAGGGAGGCTAGGCTGGTCTGGGACACCACACACCAGCAGAGAGCACCAGGAACAGGGAAGGAGCCAAAAAAAAAATGGGCAGGTGCCAGGCACCAGCACAGCTAACCAGGCATCAGGTTGCCACTTAGATCCAGCAGGGAAACTGGAGGATCTCAGCAGTGAAACTAGGTCAAAACTCTATTTGACTCACCACAGCGGGTATCCTGGCTGTCTGATCTATGGCCCAAGATGAACTCCAGAATGTACCCCACTGAGAGACAGGGTGCTGCTTCCCAAGGGCTCCCACCCAGAAGGAGCAAGTAACCTCTACTTTCTAAGGCGGCCTGGGTGGAATGGTCTAAAGCTGTTCATGTGACCCCACATTTCCTTAAAGCCCCAGACTTCCTTTTTCAATCGCATAGGACCTTTTCATCATAATCCAAAACAAGGTAAATTGGCGACAAGTTCCCAGTGGTGGAGAACCACAGCTCGGTCTCTTTTGCCCAGTTCCAGGGCTCTGACCTGAGAAGCACAGGCCGTAGAAGGCTGCAGAGACAGCTCTGGTTGGCTGGCACAGGCTGAGAGGTCAGGCCAGTGAACTGCGTCCAGCACAGCCAGGGATGAGCCGGAGGAGGGGCAGTGAAGGATTAAAGAAGACAGACAAGAGAATACAGCTGGGGCTAGGTAGGATCACTGTGCTTGGGTGAGGAAACAGTGACGCAGCCTGTAAGCCGAAGCTTGCCTTTTTTTTTTTTTTTCTTTTTTTTTTTTTTATCATCAGAGCACACAAAGCAAAACAAGGAGAGCGGTCAACATGTTTACAATGTTCCTTGGAGTTTCAAATCTGTTTTGTTACTCAAGCCTTGTTTTGGCAGCACTTGCTGCACCTCCCATTAGCTACCTAGGAACAAGGGAGGACTTAAGGTCTTAAGGATTTAATGTCAAGCTTAATTGAGTCCCAGTTTCTCTGCTGGGACTTGTACGTGGCTCTGCCACAGGTCAGTCCCGGGCTTGACCCTATAGCCGCTCCGTACAGACCAGAAATCAGAAAGCCAGAGGGAAGCCTCCTGTAACGAGAGCTAAGACCAGGCAGACTGAGAATCACAGTTTGCACAGATTGGTGAAGCTTGTTCAGAGAAGCGATGAAAGGCTCAGGGGAGGAGCGCTATCTACTTTTTGCCATTCTATAAACCAAATCTGATTGAGCTGATCCTATGAATTTATTTAAATCCTCTTGAACCAACTGAAATGTTTTAAATTTCCATATCCTAAATTAATTTCTATTCAGATGCCACTTATTCATGTCAACCAAAACTCACCCAAAAAATTCACCTCGTAATTGTGTACAACATATTCTTAGCCATTCCAAACACATTTTATTGAATAAATAAAAACTTTATTTGTGTATTTACCAAAAACAATATCCTTAATTTTATCATTTAAAAAAAATACAAACCTATAAAACCAAAATACTTAAAGGATTTGGTTAACTAAGTGTGGGCTATTTTTACCTATGAATATGAAAATCCAACTTTTCAAAACTAGTTTTGCTGAGACATGTTTGAAATATTTGTGAATTTTCATGAAGATTGGCTCTTCATGTTATGAGCTTTATTACAACATCTAGGTCAGATATTAAGAGACAAAATTATTTTGCAATCCCAAGTTAGAACTTTATATAAGAAATCCCAGTGGTGTTTAACCACTTTGAAAATTCTATTGAGTATTTTTCTATTTTCAAAATCAAGTAGGAAAAGTAAGTAACAACAGTACCTTGAAGACTTTTATAAATAGGAAAGCTACACTTTCCACAGCTATAAGCGAAGGGTATTTGTATTTCCCTGAGAGCATAGATTGCTTTGGGTTCAAGGCGTGGGTGTGGGTTGGTGGTGAAGTCATTGACAGCAGAATGTGATGAAAGCTAAGAGAACAGTTACCTGTTGATGATTGGGTGAGCTTAGCTCCATGCCCATTTTAGACCAGCTTTGTCAACTGGGGTCCATTAACCTGCCCTTCAAGTCCCAGCTGAGCTTCTGGGCCTCCTTCTCTCTAGGTCCAATCAGGTGGGGGACCCAGCCAAGCAGCTCAGAGGCCCCAGAGCCCATATGGCTGGTTGCTGGTCCTGCTTTAACTTGTGACTCATTTCTAAGAAGTGGATTCCTTCCTGGGACCCCCTTGGCTAGAGCCCCTCCTGATTCATCTCTTTCCCTTCTTGAGGATGGAGTCAGGCTCCCAAACTCCAGGGACCCTCATACCATTTTTCTCAGACCTGACTCCTCCTGCTCATCCTCTTCCTCCCATCCGGAGGTGCTCTGTCCTCACACAGGACCTGCCTCAAGATCCAGTCTGCTGTGATTCACAGGGCACCATTCTGCCTCATTCTCCTGCTGGTGGTATGGATTATGACAGTAAACTTGCAACACACTGGATACTTGTTTATTTGAGAATGAAAATTAGATCTTAAGAACTTCTATCCCTGGCTAGGGCCTAGACATTTATCCTTACCATGTTTCTAAAAAAGGACTTGAACTTTTTCCTTTCCCTAAAAGCTACAGACTGGCAGCTCCAAGTGCAGAACGCTGGGTCATCTTAATGGATATATCTGCCCATTGACCCATGCCATTATCGAGAATCCCTAATTCTTGGGAGCCAGGCACCTGAGATTTCTACCCCAAGTCACTTGCAAACCTGATGATATAAACATTATATAGAATTCTTTCCTTGTCTTCATGTGGGTGTTCTGAACTAGTCCTGAAACTTGGGTCCTGCATTTAGAACCAGGTTTAGAGCACAGAGGTCCTACATCTTCACTTTCCTAGCACCGGTACGCTCAAAATGTGCTGGCTTCTCTTCTTAAAGGACTGTTCTCTTTCTGAGGTGGCTCTTCATGTGTGGTGTGATGCTGCCATTGGATATCCTCTTTGGAAGTTCTTCCCTGATACCATTTTTGGAATATGATTATAGCGCAGAAATAGTTTCTGAAGGCAATGTCAAAGAAAGACAAATGCGTAAGCAGTGGCCTCATCGTTGACGTAAGTGCACAGCTTTTCAGAGATGCCACTCGGAAGGACAATAAAGACTTGGATGTAGCTTCGTAACTTTACATACATCTCTCTCTCTCTCTCTCTCTCTCTCTCTCTCTCTCTCTTCCTCTTTCTCTCTTTCTCTTCCTCTCTCTTTGCTAATTTGGTGGAAAAAAATTCTAATATTTTCAAGTGGCCTATTTACCTGTTTATTCAGTGTCTTCATAGTAGCCATCTGTCTTAGTTAGTGGTTTCCTCAGGTTTGACAAATATAAAGAACTCCTTGAGTGTTTGATGAACTGAAATTGAGAGCTTTCTTAAGGTTATTAGGGCTCATAAGTGATATGTGTGTTCTAAATTTCCACAAATATGCTTGTATTTTCCCATCTTACTTTCATAGGAGGGAGATAAACTATCACATGTGACCCTAAGGCACAGAGCTTTGCACACACCAACATGCATTTATATTATCACCAATAATCTAAGCAGAAACAAATATTGTAATTTTCCAAGTCTTTTTTACCTGCTTTGAATTTTAGCTCCTTCTAGCCATAACTTTTCTATGAAAATTAAATCCACTATCAAATTTCAAACTGCCAAGAAGTACAAGCACAATATGTATGCCACATCTGACATGAAATAAAACTCTATGAAGAGCTTTGAAATCATATGATGAAAATAAAGCACATTGGGTAATGCAGTTACTATGTTGTTACCATTGTTGTTGTTTAAATACAGCGTGTGAAACAGGATCTCTTCTTAATCTGTTCCCCCAACTTGGGGATTAGGATGAATTTCCAATGAGCTCATTTGAAAGTTCTGGTGCTTAGAGCGGAGGATTGACTCTGTTCTTTGAATCAAAATTGTGCCAAGCAGATCCAAAAAGCAAACAGAAGGACTTCAACAAAACCGTTCCAGCCGCCTCCTCCGCCCTTGAACAGAAGGACTTAAAAGGACCCTGAAAATTAAGGTTACAGGAGGGTGGGATCTCAGGGACATGGACCCAAATCACTATCTAAAAAATGGAGTGTACGCCATCAAGAAAAGTTGGTGGGTGAGTTGGAGTGTCATCCGATACATCAAAAAGGTTGTTGATTCATACACAAAAGGTATAGGGTACATACTGAGGTTTCAAATTTAATTCCAGATTGGGGTGCATACGGGAAGCAACTGATTGATGTTTCTCTCTTCCCCTCTCTCTAAAATCAGTCAAAGTATACCTTCAGTTGAAACCGGTTTGGCTCAGTTGCCGGTCCCAGGTTTGATTCCAGTCAAGGGCACGTACCTTGGTTGTGGGCACATCCCCAGTAGGGGGTGTGCAAGAGGCAGCTAATGGATGATCCTCATCGATATTTTTAACTCTCTATCCCTCTCTCTTCCTCTCTGTAAAAAAAAAAAAAAAATCAATAAAATATGTTTAAAAAAAAAAAAAGCATACCTTCAGGTGAGAATAAAGAAGGAGGAGGAGGAGCTGGTGATTCCTGATTCCTGCAGAGGCCAGCAGTCTATTAGGATAGTCACATATTTTTGAAACAGAGATTTGAGTCTCTATGAACCTCCTTTCTCCATGGCAATACAACAGCTAGACATTAAGGGGCCAGGGCACTGGACCATGCTGAAGGTACAATTCTGTCTGGTGATGACAGTATTAGTCCAAAAATGGGCCTCCTATGATCATAAAAATAAAATAAAAATAAATAAATAGAAGCTCTTGATGGGAGAACAGAACACAATTTTTATATATATATATATATATATATATTTCAAAGCAAACAGGCCTTCCCAGATCCTCCTCCCCAGACCTGCCAGGTGAGACAGCCTCTGAGATGCTCCTGACAAGGAGCCCAAGGCTCCCACACCAGGGATTCCAGCTGGTTTCAGTAGGGGAGGGGGGCGGGGAGAAGCGGGAGAAAATAAAAGGAAAGGAAAAGAAAAGAGAAATATCCTTATTTCCCTGCCTTGGTTAGTGAATCCTTTTGCAAACTTGTCAGTTTGGGGCACCTTGTTTTTGTTTCTGGTCTCCTGCTCTGAGAGAGCCAGTATGGCAGAAAGGGCACCGACTTGGACATTGAAAGACCTGGGTTTAGACGCTTGGTTTTGCGACTTGCAATTTGAGTGACCTGGGACAAGTCACTTCGCCTCCCTGGAACTCGGTTTGCTCGCTTGTAAAAGTGATTTTTAAAAAACCAGCCACCAGGTCTGTATGATGGTTCAGTGGCTTGATCTACAAAGGCTCTGGCCCAGACCCCGGCCCGGGCAGGTGTGTCCTGAATGTGACCTATTGCTCTTCTGCTCGCCTGAGGTAGGTCCCGCAAACATTCCTAGTTTCGCTCTCCAGGGTCCCAAAGCTGTGACTTCCCAGGAGCCCCCAAGGGGAGGGAGCCACAGTAATTCCCTGAGGTCCGACCTAAGCCCCGCCCCCTGCCTGGAGTGGGCGGGGCCTGAGGGAAGGGTGCAGAGGGCTCCGGGAGGCCCCGCCCAGCTCCCTGGGTGACTCCGCCTCCCGCCGTCAGACGGACACGGCGCCGGGCACGATCCTGCGGATGTGGGTGTAGGACTTCCTGATGGTGACGCTGCCGTGGTGCGACACCCCGCGGGGCAGCACGCACTCCTCGGTCAGTTTCTGCGCCTCGGGGTCCCAGCACAGCACCGTGGCGATGACCTCGTTCTTCTCGTCGCGGCCGCCGGTGATGTAGAGCCGGTTGTTGCAGGGCGCGATGCCGCAGCTGGCCCGCTCGTGGCTGAGCTGGGTCACCAGGCTCCAGGCGTCCTCCAGGGGGCTGTAGGCGTACAGCGCCCGCATGGCCCCACCTGCGGGCCGAGGGAGGGGACACGGTGGGCCTCGCACCCTTAGTGCTGGCTTTCCTCTCCTCGGACCTAATCCTTCTGATTAGGTAAGCCTACACCACCTTGCCTAGAGAAAGGAGGTGCACGGCTTTCTAAAAACTTCCTAAGCGCTGGATGCAGACCCTTCCCACTGTCCTCTAAATTCTGCAGCCAGAAAAGGAACTCACTACAGATTCATTTGCCTCTCGGCATAACCGTTATGGCTCGTCTCAGTTTCAGTTCTTACAAGGTATTTCTTGGATCACATGATCTCACACATCTAGAGGAAATAATGAACAACATACACTGATGGACAAAAACAGACCCAGAGAAAGAAAAACAGCGATCAGACTCTCAAACCTCAGAGGGAAAGTGGGGGAGGGTAGGGGTAAGGGGGAGAGATCAACCAAAGGACTTGTGTGTATGCATATGGGCCTAGCCAGTAGCCATGGACAACAGGGCGATGGGGGTTATGTGGGGAGGGGTTTGGGGATGGGAATGGGGGATGAGGACAATTATGTGATACCATAATCAATAAAATAAAATAAAATAAAAATTCTGCAGCTAGGGCTCATCAGGTTCCCAGGGGCACTTGGCTTCCCCGGCCGCCAAAATGTACCCCGAGACTGCTCCCTGGAAGAAATACCACGTGGTGCATCAGGCAGACTCTGCTCACAACTCCAGCTCTGCCCCCTTTTGATCTGTAACCACGAGCACGTGATGATAAGACGTCAGAAGGACAGTGAGCACGAAGTCCCTGCCTGGTGCATAGAAGCCGTCAGTACGTGACAGTAACCACAGGCGTAGCCCCTCTTTGAACCGAGTGCGGCCTAGGCCACCGTTCAAGGTACTTGTCTCCAGATTAGGCCTTAAGTAGTCATGAGCCTGACCATAAACACACATGAAACCTCAACCAAGTAAGAGAGGGGGTTTTTCCTTCATCTCTTTCCATATTTACTTGTCTGGTGATCTCTTATTTGCTTACGTTGTTTATTTTTGGCATCCCCTTTATCGGTAGTTCTCAATCCTTGCTGCACATTGAAGTCACCTGTTACGTTAAAAATATTTGCAACTGCCCTGGCCAGTTTGCCCGAGTGGATAGAGCATCGGAAAGGTCCCAGGTTCGATTCCGGTCTAGGGCACATGCCCGGGTTGTGGGCTCGATCTTCAGTGGAGGACTTGCAGGAGGCAGCCAATCCATGAGTCTCTCTCATGGATGTTTCTCTCTCTCTCTCTCTCCCTCTTCCTTCCTCTCTGAAATCAATAAAAATATATTTAAAAAAACAAAACAAAACACTTGCAACTGTTGGCCAGCATCCCCTCTTTCCCATTCTGATTTCATTGGTCCGAAGTGAGGCCCAGCCGCCCATACTTTTGTAATAAGCTCCAAAGTGATGCTAATGAGTAGTCAGGACTGAGATCCATTATCCTTAACATTACATGCCAACTGTGGTCTGGCTGGCCAGGCTTTCCTTTGGGCAAACTGCAGCTTTTCAGAGCCCCCAAAGCACGTAGGGAGAGTAAAGTTCCCGTGAACACAAAAGGCAAAATAATGATAGCTATTACTTATTGGGCCCTTATCATACTGTGCACATTTCCATATCTGCACATGTTTCTGCAGCAACGTCTAACTCCTCCCTGAGTCCTAGGGATGATTTGCTTTGTATGTCTCCTACATGTGGGCAGTTTTCTGCCTCGAGGACTTCAGGGGAAATCCCACCAAAGCCTGGACCAATCCCATCTTCCCTTCCTTTTCAACCAAGAAATTTGTGAGTTCCCAGGAGGGCTCCCTCCGATCTGCCTGCATGGCTTCATGGGTGGGGAACCTTGGCTACATAAGAAGCCCTTTGCTCACTTACCGACGACATAGATGCGGTCCCGGAAGCTCACGGCATTGATGCATTTAGCCTCCACGGGCATGGGCGACTTCAAACTCCACTTATTGGCCGAAGGGTCGTAACACTGGGTCTTGTCCGTGGCCAGTTTCCCGTTGGGCCCTCCCCCGATCACGTAGAGCTTCTTCTTGTGGCTGGTGGCCGCGAAGGAACTGACGTGGACGAGGAGGGGCGCGGCCTGTGGAGAGGAGACGCAGGCCGGGGAGAAGCCGTCAGTCCCCAGCTTGCTGTACTGGTTCCCAGGACACAGGCCCGGAGCCAGGGCACACAAGCCTGGGCGTCCTCTGCCTGAGGTCACAAGGCCTGTAGCCCTGACTCCCCTTGAAACACAGAGCGGGTCAAAGCACATATATCCCACCCTCCCTCCAGACTCTAGCAGGCGTTAGGTGTTTCCAGCCTGTTTCTTCCAGATTTTGGTTCTCAGGTGAGGAGGGGTAGTGACAGGAATAAATGTTTCCACTCAAAAAGTATTGGAGAGAAATGCTTTTTCAAACGTGCATGGTCATATTCATTCATGTGTTTATTCACTTAACATTATTCACGATATGCCAGGCATTGTCCTTGGTGTTTATAATATCCAGGAAGGAAAAATTGGGAAACGGGTTTCAGATGGCCACAGGTAAACAGACACTCCCACTCTGGGGCAACATGCAGATTTGGGGATTAAGCCAGTCTTGTGCTTCCACTCTGTGAACCCCAGGGCACTAAAGGTGCTGCACAAGAGCTGCTTGCTCATTGACATGATCCTCTTGAGCCATGGGCCAACCCACCAGTGCCAAGTAACAGGGCTTACCAAACTGAGAAGGTCTTGGTACACCCCCTCCCCATGAAACATTAAGGGTTCCCTATTTGCCACTCTTCAGGTTGACAGGTTGGATGCCAGGAGGACCTGGCTACCTGTGCTGTGCCTACAGTGACCATGCTTTACTGTAGAGGGCCCTCTGGGAAGGCACATGGACATTCTTTTAATTCTTATCAGCTGAGCCCGGGCACTAGCAGAGTCTTGTCAGCGGTTACAACCCCCCAAGAAGGCAGGGGGTGTTATCAGTCCAGGTGTTGGAAGAGGGCTTTGAGATGTAAATTCAGTCTAGCACCGGGAAAGAGGGAATGAATAGGACTTTGGCCCACCCAAGCTCCTTTGATCCTAAATTTTCCCAGTGAAACCCCTTTGTATTTTGGAGGATAAATAAATGTACTGTATTGCCTGTGAGTGTGACTGTCCCTCCATCAGAGTGACAGCCTCCACCCTGCACTCAGCTTTTGGATCTATTTCTGCCTCTTGTCTCTTTCTTTCTTAACCCATTTTTGAGAGTTATTATTTGGCTGAAGGGTCGTAACACTGGTTCTTGCTATAGATAATAAATTATCTATAGCACAGTATCATACAGCAGATCTCCAGAGTGTATCCTTTGCACCCACTGATTAGCAATGCCTTACCTTTGCCTGAGCAGGATATATACCTCAGTTTGTATTGTGAAACTTGTTAAACTCTTGCACGCAAGTATATAAAAGATGATTCACTAGTAAGCAAATAAACAAGGGCTGATTTATAAGCACTACCAAATGACCGCATTCAGCAAAACTGTGTTAAAGGGATCCTTGGGTATCCCTTGTGGAGAAGACAAGGATAGATGGCATCTGAGGGCACGGAGACTATGGGCCAAGATATGCACCCAGTGTAGGATCCAGCCTCCCCACCCCCTCTTCCCCCCACATCTGGGGTTCTGGCCAGGATAGGGCAGGTGAACACAAAGCTGTGACCTGATCAGCAATGCTAAAGCAATGATTTCTATGATGCGGGAAGCTCACAGCCACCAAAAATGTTCTGAGCCGAGTGATCAGAAAGCCATATACCAACATTGACACATACCCTTTCTTAGGCTTTGCAGTAATAATACAATCAGCGTTACCCATAGAAACAATCTTCGATACCTCTGACCAGCAATTGTGGAAGGGGTCGTAGGTCTCCACGTTGTTGATCCTCTGCAAGCCATCAAAACCGCCGATCACATAGACCTTGCCACCCAACACCACCATCTTATGCCTCCAGCGGCCTATGTTCAAATACTCTATTTGGATCCATTTGTTGATTGAAGAGTTATATTTCCAAACATCGTGCTGTGTTTCTTTGCCGCCTAGAAGAGATGCAGGCGTTTAAGAAACCACCAGATGTGTCAGGAATACAGCCCCTCCCATAATTTCCCGCAGATCCATAAGTGCTGAATCCCCAGGCCAGCCCTCCTAAGAAAAGAGAAATCCTGAAGGGGTGTGTGGCCTATTTGGGGAGGCAGAACCAACACAGAGGAACAAAAGGAGACAGTGTGAGGCTGGGGTGAACAATTCTCCAGACGAGCCATGTGGCATCTCTGTGCCATGAGAGCTCAGGGAAGAGGTGGGCTTCAGGGAGGCCGGACCATGTCCTCCTCCACCCTCAGCAGGAGCCTGGACTCCGTGTTTGTGAAGCTAAGAAGCAAGCTGTGCTGAAACCGGTTTTGCTCAGTGGATAGAGCGTCGGCCTGCGGACTGAAAGGTCCCAGATTCGATTCCGGTCAAGGGCATGTACCTTGATTGCGGGCACATCCCCAGTAGGGGGTGTGCAGGAGGCGGCTGATCAATGTTTCTAACTCTCTATCCCTCTCCCTTCGTCTTTGTAAAAAATCAATAAAATATATTTTTTAAAAAGAAGAAGAAGAAGAAGAAAAAGAAGAAGAAGAAGAAGAAGCAGCAGCAGCAAGCTGTGGCCTGTGCAGGGCCTTCCTTGACCAGCAGACATATTAAAAAGCAGCTTATGTTCTATTTGCTTGTTTTTAAGAATGCAAACCCAATAAATATTTTAAAGTCCCCGGAGTTGCCTAGCTGGTTGGCTCAGTGGTTGACCACCGACCGATGAACCAAGAAGTCACTGGTTGATTCCTGGTCAGGGCACACCCCTGGGTTGCAGTCTCGATCCCTATAAGGTACATGCAGGAGGCAGCCTCCTGGCACACAGTTAAACTGCATTTCCAAGCCCACCTGCAATGTTTCTCTCTCATCCATTGATGTTTCTATTTCTCTATCCCTCTCCCTCCCTCTCTAAACAAATCAATAAAAAAAAATTTTTTTTTAATTATCTGGATTTATAACTGTACAACAAATATAAGTGGGGTTGACCTGTTTTTAAACAATTTTTCACTATAAAAGAATGAGATGCTCCCAATAGAAAACATGAGAGTGAGATGGCAAATAATTTTTTCAAAACAACTCTCTTATTAAACAGAAAATACATAATTTAATTAGGAAAAGAGAACAAAACAGAGAACTGTCTTTTTCGGTGTCTTTAATCAAATACTTGAACAAATTTATATTTCCAATTCCCCATCAGCACAGAGTGCCAACTCAACTACTTAACGAAAAAATATGTACTTTTCAGACTTGTTAACCTGCCCTACTGCGGCAATGAATGTCACTGATGATGCTCCATGTCATGCATGGGTGAGTGTTTCTCTAGGATGGAGCCCAAAAGTGGGTTTCCTAGGTCAAGGCTGTACATATCTTGACTTTTTATAGGTGCTGCCAAAGATCCCTCTAAAGCTCCTTTCCCCACGCCCCACCCACAGTGGATGTAAGGAGGGGGTTTTGAGGTTGTTTTGGGGTGCTTTCTTTGTTGTTGTTTTATAGCCTAATGGAGAAAAATAGTGCCAGTTTGGTTCTCCCTGGCTATTAGGGAGACTGAGTTTTTTCCTCTCCTGTGAATTTTTAGTTTGTTGAGTTTAATCATTTTTCTTTTGGTTGTGTGCCTTTTAGAGATCTCTATTTACTTAAAACTCTGTGATATTGGTCCCATGTAGGTAGTGTCAAAACTTACTAAATAACTATAAACTTTCAAAGAAATGCATGCAAATTTTATTTAAAAAGAAAAGGACTCTATGAATTTTACTTCATAAAAGAAGACCCAATTAACTGGGGCAGGCGTATCGTGTGCATAGATAAGAAAACATCAACCGTCTCCAGATAAATCCACTTATCCAGCGCCTTCAGGAATTTTCAGGGAACTTGAATTCTAAATTTCACTTGGAAGAATACATTTGGAAAGACTTCTAAGGAACTTGTGACAAAGAAAAATGAAGAGAAGGCTTTCCACAGTGAATATCAAACTATTGTATATACTCCACAGCTATTACACAAACAACATGGTGCTGCATCAGACCACACACTGATGAATAACAGCCAGAGTACAGAACAGCTAAAAGATGTAGAGATCATTCAATAAATGGTCTTAGAACACTTTTATAGAAAAATTAAGGTAGATCCCTATTCCACATTACCCTTAAAATAAACCTCAAATGTAAAAGCTTTAAAAGTAACTGAAGAAAATATAGAACATATTAAGGATCTTCAGGTGGTATTTGAAACCCAGAATCATATAATAAAGTTACTATATAAAATCTAAATCAATGTTAGAAAACAACACAGCCTGGGAGAAAGTACTCGCAATACAAATAGCAAAAGGTATATGATAAGAACTCCAAAAACTTAATTAAAAAAAAAAAAAAGACAAACCACCAACAGAAAAACAAAGAGTGTAAACACATAATTTGTAAAATAAATACAGTTAGCTATTAAATATACTCAACCTCATTAATGATCCAAGTGTGTAAATTTAAACATTCTAACCTATTAAAAGTGTAATTGATGGATAATAAAAATTAATATAAAATGGATGTTGAAACGGCCACTGTTATTTGGTTGAACTGTAAATTGGTACAAACTTTCTGGAGGACAATTTAGCAATATCTACAAGCATTCCAAATCCTCACATCTTATGACTACTTCTAGGAATCTCTCCAAATAGCAGCACAAGTTCATAAACATATGTGCAATATTTTTTAGTAGAAAAAAATAAAAGCTGAAAACAGTCATGGCTCATTTATTCAATAAACTGTCCTGCAGCTGGTAAAAGGAATAATGATAATGAAATGACGCTAATGATGGCTAACACTGTTGAGGTCTCACCATGTGCTTGGGATTGTGCTGTGCTTTACATGAATTATATCACTTAAAACGTATGATAGATCCATTATACCAACAATAGATCCATTATTTCCACCTGCAATGAGATGGAAAATGTATTGTAAATTGAAGCGATGTTTCTGTTGATTTTATGGTGTACTAAGGCCCAGTGCATGAAATTTGTGCACAGGGCAAAGGGAATCCCCTCAGCTCAGCCTGCACACTCTCCAATCCGGAACCCCTTGGGGGATGTCTGACTGCCGGTTTAGGCCCAATCCCTCTCAAAATCCAAAACTGCTGGTTCCTAACTGCTCACCTGCTTGCCTGCCTGATTGCCCCTAATTGCCCCCCACCTGCCAGCCTGATCACCCCTAACTGCCTCTGCCTGTTGGCCTGATGACCCCTAATTGCCCCCTCTGCTGGCCTGGTTGCCCCCAACCACCCCTCCCTGCTGACCTGAACACCCCATGCAGCCTGCTATTCAGTCATTTGGTCGTCCCTCATTAACCCCCCTGCCAGCCTGATTGCCCCATACAGCCTGCTTATTCAGTTGTTTGATCATCCCTCACTAACCCCCTGCCAGCCTTGTCACCCCACACAGCCTGCTTTTCGGTCATCTGTCCAGTTGTTTTGGTCGTGACAGCCCCTGGATTTTTACATATTGGGATAACAAGCATGCTTTCATGTATTGCTTGTATCATTTTTAAAAAAGACAATGACACATTTAAGAGAAGGACAAGTTGTAGAATAACGTGCAGTGGATGTAGCAAAGACTGACTATAATTATAAACTCCATCTTTTCCTTCTGGACACACAGTTAAACCTCATTTCCCAGCCTACCTGCAGTGGGTAGGGGGCAGGGAGGTCATGTGGCTCATTCTTGCCAATAGACTATGATTAGAATTGTGAATCCAGACTAAGGCTGTTCTCAGCTCGTTCACACTCAACTCATTCATTTTTCTCTCTCCTCTCAAAATGAAGACCACATATGCAAAACAACAGCATCACGAGATGGAAGGAGCCTGGGTCCCTTAGTGACTGAGCAGAGCAACCCCATATCCTGTTGTGGTAATTCACTGAGATTTAGAATTAGTTACTGAAGCTGGCATTATTTACTCTAAAGCAATACAAAACTGTTTTAAACGTAAAATATAGGGTTTTAATGACAGAGAAACTGACATATTTTACTTCATACTCTATATTATTTGAATCTTCCACAACAATTAAAACGTATTTCTACAAGATAAAAGAAAGCTATAGCCTCATCTATGATATTAATATATCCCAAGAAGAAGTGACCTGACCTTGATTTTGGAGGAAACCATCTCTGGGAAGCAGCTTTTCCCCAAATAAGTACAGATTAGAGAGCACCTTCTAGAGAAGAGAAGGGATACTTGTCTCCTCCTATGGGGCCCCAAGAAGAGCTGAGTTGTTTTGGGGGAAAGCATGGGTCTCAGAGAACCTGGGTTGGAATCCTGCCTGGATTGAATTTGCCAGTGTGTGTCCTTAGGTGCATTCCATCACCTTTTTGAGTTTCCATTTTCTCCACCTGTTACCTGGAGATTTAAGTCACCTATCTTATAGAGTTAATGTGAGAAACATATGATTAAATGCTCCCAAATTATAAATTCATCTACTATGCAGGAAAGATGGTAGAAAATATGTCTTTCAATAAATTGAGCATTTACTATGGTGGCCAGGCACAGTGTTAGGTGTTGGGAATAGTTCTGACTGTCAGATAATTTAAGGATTAGTGGTTGATAGGCATAAATCATTATAAATAATTGATCAAACTACTTAAAAGTCAGAAATGAAAAAAAAAAATACTGGATGCTTTGGGGGTGTCTAAAAGTATGACCTAATAAACGTGAAGGATCAGGTCTTGGAGAAGAGCAGACATTTTCATTCATTACTGTATTCCCAGTGCCAAGCTTAGTGTACTATGCCTATAGCAGACACCAAATAAATTCTAGTATCTCTTTCCTGTTTCTCTTCCTGCTCCCCAGATCCCAGCACAATATTGCTCACAGGTTAGTGCTCATCAAATAAAAAATGTGCTTTCCAAGATAAGACCACCTGAGCTGCTGGTTTCCATATCCTGACCCAGACAGAGCTAGATCGTTGCCATTTACAATAATTCTTCTAGGATGGCTGCCTGCCCTCACTCAGGAAAATGTGTAGTGCCAATGCGGACATGCTTTGGCATCACGTGACTCCTGCTTACCTGAGATGTAGACCTCATTTTTTAATGTCACGCATGCAAACTCCACCCACTTCTTATTCTCACTCTCCAGCTCATGCTCCGTCATCGGGAGCTTGGCCACCTCCAGGCGGCTGCGCCTCAGGGGGTCCAGGCAGGTTACCTCCGCCACAAACCGCTCATCCTTCGTGCAGCCACCGATGATCATGAACACCTCAGACTGGAACTCGTGCATCCTGGGCTTGGTGCGCTCTGATATTATCTGGAAAATCAAGGGGAGTACAGGGTGACACAGGGCTTCAGAGCTCCGGTGATGGAGCCAGCAGAGCAGGACCCAGTGCCCCACCCTGCCATGGTGTGACCAGGTGACAGCACCTCGCTGAGCCTCCGTTTCATCCTCTGTATATTAGAGGGCATAGTGGTAACTACCACCAGGTGTGCTGTGAGGATTCACTGAGATCATATACATAGTGTGTTTGGCCCAGAATCTGGTATATACTAGGTACTGAATAAAGGTTATCTGTTAATTGCTTTTGGTGCCATTTTGAGAACTCCAGGTCTTGCTGAACCCGGTTTGGCTCAGTGGATAGAGCGTCGGCCTGCAGACTGAAAGGTCCTGGGTTGGATTGCGGTCAAGGCACATCCCCGGTGGGAGGTGTACGGGATGCAGCTGATCGATGTTTCTCTCTCATTGATGTTTCTAACTCTCTATCCCTCTCTTCCTCTCTGTAAAAAAAATCAATTTATATATATATATATATATATATATATATATATATATATATATATATGTTGATATATGTTGATATATGTTGATATATGTTGATATATATTGATATATATTGATATATATTGATATATATTGATATATATTGATATATATTGATATATATTGATATATATTGATATATATTGATATATATATTTTTTTTTCCCCTTAAAGAACTCCAGGTCTGTTTACCATCAAATGCACTTCTTGCTTCTCCCTTCCTACCTGATATGAAGCCTTGAATCCTAGAATTCCATTTCTGGCCACCTTCCACCCCTGCCTTGTTCCAATATCTTGATGACAGCCCAGACTTTTGTTCACTACCACACTTCTTCTGAAAGAGAGGTCCTGACAGTGGGAGCAGGGTATGCCCAAGCAGGTTGGAGGACTGGGTCTCAACCTCAAGCATATGACCCTTCAGAGCCTTGAACAAGCAAAGAGAGCCACACCTTGGGTATCTGAACTCAGCTGAAAGAGCAGACATCTGAAGTCAAAGACACCTGAGTTTGGGTCCACCACCTATGGCCTTGTGACCATGGAGAAGCAATACAATCTCCGTAAATGCCTATAATCACTTCTATGCCATCAGACCTCGGCATAGATCAAGGTGGAAATTTAGGAGGAAATGAAAGAGAGGGGCAACTTTTCTGTCCCAAAAGACCTCTCCCAAGGAAGGTACCAGCTTACCATTTCTAAGTTAAATACACACTGGCATTTGCTTTTAGGGTTTTAAAATGTCCCACTGTCATCATCTTCATGAACTTGGAGGAGGGACAACATTAAGAAGGAGAGATAGTGATAGGACAAGGAGGGTTAAAGTTTGGGAAAGGAAGGTGAAGTGAGTTCCAGGCATAGCCTTCGAGCGTGCACTACTGTCACCAGGAACAAAACCAAGATCATTCAAGCAGTGAGCAGACAGGGGGTTTCAGGAACCAACCAGCAATGAGACCGCAAGCCAGGGATCACAGTGGTGGGTAGGTTCAGTTACGCAGCCTGCAATGGAAATGAAAAAGTGCTTTGGGCTGGATTGGGGGCAATGAAGGCAGCAAAAACCTAGGACACAGTGAAAAGAGAGATTTTAGCCTAAGACGAAGAAAATGTCTGCTTGTGGGAGATAGGGCATCAAAAACAAACTGAGTGAGAGTAAGAACAGTCTTCGTTTGTGGGGCATTTACCATGTGCCAGACGCTGTGCTCAGCACATCTAATTCATTATCTGATCATATCTCAAAACAACGCTAGAAGCTGGTCGGCATTATCATCTCCGGGTTACAGGTTGGGCCTGAGCTCTAGGGCAGTTAAGTAGCCCAAGGTCACGCTGTAGGTAAGTTGTGCGAAGTGAAAGCCGAGATTCTCCCGCCTGCAAGCCCAAATTTCTGCCCCTGGAGACTTTCCCAGCTATCAGAATTCTCTCTCCTCCTCAACCCAAAGTTTATGCTCCCATTCCCCACCCTCACCCCATTTCAAATACAAAAGGCAGAGCAGGTGTTTTGTAGCAGCAATTTTGCAGAAGACATAGTAGAGATATTTTATATCAAAAGAATGCCTTCATCACCTGCATTTCAGAGACTAAACGAATGGGAAGCAGAAACAGAAATAGCCAGAATTTTGGAAATACAGTTGATCAAGACTCTGAACTTTAAACGCTTCGCTGAATACAGCTGCAGAAACTGACACTTGTCCAAGTGTATGAGGGTTTTGATTCCCAGTGCTGAGCCACCTGCCAGCGACCCACATACCCAGCACGGGACCTGACCCATGTGATTGCCTACACTCCCTCCATCAGTCTACTCACCACCCTTTATTTGCTTACTGTCCTCTATTCTCTGAAAGACAGACATTTAGCAAGGCAGAGATTTTTTTTTTGTAGTGCCTGGTGCCATTTCTGGCATTTGTTACTGTTGAGGATTTATTTGTTTTATATATATATATATATATATATATATATATATATATATATATATATATATGAAGGCCTAGCGTATTAAAATATATGGGATGCTGTTAAAGTAGTACTTGGGGGGAAATTTATAGTACTAATGACAATATTAAGGAGAAAAGGTCTCAAATCAATGACCTCCAAATCTACCTAAGGAACGAAAAAAAGAAGAGAAAATTAAACCCAAAGGAAGCAAAAGACGAAATAATCAAGATTAGATTAGAAATAAGTTAAATAGAAAACACAAAAGCAATAGAGAAAAATAAAATTAAACCAGAAGCTTGTTTTTTGAGAAAATCAATACAATTGACAAACCTCAAGCAACCTGATCAAGAAAAAAAAGAGGAAACACAAATCACCACTATCTGGAATGGGAGATGTGTATGACATCACTACAGATTCTACAGATAATAAGGGAATATTGTGAACAACATTAAACCAACATATTCAGTAGCTTCTATGAAATGGAAAAGTTCTTTAAAAAATACAAACTATTAAAGCTCATTCTAGAAGAAATAGATAACCTGAATAGCCCTATATCTATTAAAGAAATACAATTTATAATTAAAGACCACACACACACCTCCTGATCTAATAGCATCACTGGTAAAACTACCAAACATTTAAAAATATATTTGCAGAGTGAATGAGTGGCAATGAATCTGAGGACAACACAGAACTAGAAAGGACACATGGGAAAAGGAGGAGGCTGCTGGGGGGCTTCACACAGATCATTCCTAAGCCACTCTTTACTCAGATATCTACCAATGGCCTAATGAAGAAGGCTTGGTAGCCAAACCCAAAAGTATTGTGGGATATGTGTGGGTTTCGTGTATATAAACCTAACAGTCCCTGTTTCATTACTTCTTGACTGCTTATCCACCTCCACTAAACCTAGTATTGTCTTTATACAGAAATGAATAAACTATTTCTTCAATTGTTAAGAAGAACCAGGTAGATTCAAATGAGGTGCACATTCACTGTTTTGGTCTCCGTTTATTCATACAACAAACCTTTATCAATCACTTACAATATACCAGGGAATCTCTTAAAGTCTGGAGATAAAAATTCCAATACAACATACTTTCTACCATAACAAGCTCCCAACCTGGAGGTATTTACAGATGAGGAATTCAATGGTTAACATGGAGCAGCCAGTGTTAAAATACTGCAATGCATCAGGGGCTGAGAATGAGAGAAGCCGCTGAAGAAGATGATGCTTGAACCAGATTTTGAAGCAGGAGCACAAGCTGACTAGAAGAAGAGGGAAAAGGCATCTGGACATCGCCTGCATTAGCTGGAGGCAGAGAAAGCAGGCCTGCTTTGGGGAATTAGAAGCAGTGTCTTTGGGCTGTAGCAGAAGAAAGGGGCTGGAGATGGCACTAGAGAAGCAGGCAGGAGGGGAAGGGGGCAGGGCCAGACTGGGAGCTCGGGCAGGAAGTGTGGGCTTTATCCCGAAAGGGGTGAGGAACCAGTGAAGAGGGTAAGCTTGGGAGAGAAATGACCAGGCTCCCGTTTTAGATCATCCGGCTGATGAATGAACTGGAGGGAGGCCGAACTGGAGCAGGAAGGTGGGTTTTGAGGAACTTTCATAAATTCAGGAAGGAAATAACGAGAGGCTGAACTAAAGAAACATCGGAGTCCCCGGAGTGGGCAGGAAGAAAGCAGCACCCTGTGGAAGGGCGGCTGGACAGGGCATGCTCTGTCCACGTGTGTGTCACCCCCACTGCCCTCCCGCCCTGCCACAGCTGGGAAGAGAAGGGACGTGCCAGGCTTGGTGCTGGGTGGTTTCTGTCTCTCACCTAATCCCCTCAGCAGCTGCCCATGAGGCATTATCATCCCCATTTTACAGATCAGAGATCCAGGGCTTCTGGAACTGCCTGACTCAAACTGTCATGTAGCATCTCCTTGCTCTAAGGATATGCCAGCCGGCCGGCCTCCCCTGCTCTCTGTGAGGCCCACTCACTCCTTCACGTAGCTGGCTAACGGCAGCATCTCCCATCTCACCTCATTGCCTGACAGGTGGTACATCCTGGCTTCCTGGAGCAGCGGGAAGACCTCCGGGCACTGCCTGATGAGAGGATCTGCCTCCACCGTCTCCACGAAGTACCAGGGGTCCAGCAGCGGCAGGCGCACGAACTCCAGGATGTAGGGCAGCAGGCAGAGCCGCTCCGACTGCTTGTGCCGGACCCAGCTCATCACCGTCTCGAACACCTGAGCCTCCTCCGTCACATACAGGTCGTCGCTCTTCAGGATGTGGTACAGAGTGTCCACGGGAAGTTCCAGGAACTCCTCGGCGTTCAGGATCTGCACAAAGTTTTGGATGATGTAACTCTGGACCTGTTTCTTTAGGCTGTCCAAGGAGTGCGTGTCCGCCAGCCTCAGTATCCCGACACAGTTTTCTGGGTTCAAGGCTTCGGTGAGGAAGCTGGCACAGGCATCCACCATCCGCAGGAACTAAAGAGAACAATAAGGGACTAGCTAAATAGATAAGAATACATTCCTATTTTAAAAAAATATTTTTATTGATTTTTTTACAAAGAGGAAGAGAGAGGGACAGAGAGTCAAAAATATCGATGAGAGAAACATCGATCAGCTGCCTCCTGCCCACTCCCTACAGGGGATGTGCCTACAACCAAGGTACATGTCCTTGACCGGAATCGAACCTGGGACCCTTCACTCCACAAGCCCACACTCTATCCACTGAGCCAACCTGGTTTCGGCTACATTCCTATTTTTGATGGCTCTATGGTCATTTAGAAAACATGGTATAGAAGAATATTAAATGGCATAAAACATTTTTATGGTTTTAAAATCTGGTCATGGAATCTGATTAGTTTTAAAATCTGTTCATGGAATCTGATTGAGCCTCTAGTTTTGATCAGCAACTACAGGAAATAGAGTTGAGCCCTGGCCGGTGCGGCTCAGTTGGTTGAGGATCGATCGCCCTGTGCACCTAAAGGTCACTGGTTGGTTCTGGGTTAGGGTTCACTCCCGGATTGCAGTCTTGTTCCTGGTCCGGGTGTGTGCAAGAGGCAACTGATTAATGTATCCTTCTCTTTATCTCCCTCTTCCTCTTTCTCTAAAATCAAGTGGAAGAATATACTCTGTTCATGATTTCAACATCATTAAAATCATCATTAAAATGTTCATCCTACCCAAAGCGATACAATCCCTATTAAAATGCCAACAGCATATTTCACAGACTCTAGGACAAACTCTCCAAAAATTTACATGGAGCCTAAACCGGTTTGGCTCAGTGGATAGAGGGTCGGTCTGCGGACTGAAAGGTCCCAGGTTTGATTACGGTCAAGACCATGTACCTTGGTTGCAGGCACATACCCAGTAGGGGTTATGCAAGAGGCAGCTGATCAATGATTCTCTCTCATCGATGTTTCTAACTCTCTATCCCTCTCTGTAAAAAAATCAATAAAATATATATATTTAAAAACAAAACAAAACAAAAAAAATTTACATGGAATAAAAACTTTTTTTAAAAAAGACCCTGAATGGCTGCAGCAATCCTGAGAAAGAAGAACAGTGTTGGAGGGATCACAATACTAGATATCAAGCTATATTACAAAGCCACTGTTCTCAAAACTGCCTGGTACTGGCATAAGAAAACACATATAAACAAATGGAACAGAACAGAGAACCCAGAAATTGACCCAAGCCATTATGCTCAATTAATATTTGACAAATGAGGCAAGAGAATACAATGAGACAAGACAGTCTCTTCAATAAATGGTGCTGGGAAAATTGGACAGATATATATATAAAAAAAAAAATGAAACTAGACCACCAACTTACACCATTCACAAAAATAAACTAAAAATGGATAAAGAACTGAAATGTAAGACAGGAAACCATAAAAATCTTAGAAAATTTATAGGCAGCAAAAATATCAGACATATGTCATAGCAATATCTTTACCGATACAGCTCCTATGGCAATGGAAACTAAGGAGAAAATAAACAAATGGGACTACATCAAAATAAAAAGCTTCTGCACAGCAAAAGAAAACATCAACAAAACAATACGAAGCCCATTGTATGGGAGAACATATTTGCCAATGTTACATCCAATAAGGGTTTAATTTCCAAAATTGATAGGGAACTCATACAACTTAACAAAAGGAAGATAAACAATCCAATCAAAAAATGGACAAAGGACCTAAATAGACACTTTTTGAAAGTAGATATACAGAAGGCCAAGAGGCATATGAAAAAAATGTTTAAAGTCGTTAATTATCCAAGAGATATAAATCAAAACAACAATGAAGTACCATTTCACACCTGTCAGAATGGCTACTATCAACAAATCAACAATGAAGTACAAGTGCTGGCGAGAATGCAGAGAAAAAGGAACCCTTTTTCTTGGTGCTGGTCCGGGTGTGTGCAAGAGGCAATTGATTAACGTATCCTTGCACTGCCTTGCACTGCTGGTGGACAGTATGGAGTCTCCTCAAAAAGTTAAAAATGGAACTTCCCTTTGACCCAATAATCCCACTTCTAGGAATATATACCAATAAATCAAAACACCAATCAGAAAAGCTATATGCAACCCTATGTTCATAGCAGCACAATATTCCTAAAGATTTGGAAACAGCCTAAATGCCCCTCAGCAGATGAGTGGATTAAAAAAAAAACTATGGTACATCTACACAATGGAATTCCATGCTGCTGTAAAAAAGAAAGTACTCTTACCATTTGCAACAGCATGGATGTACCTGGAGAACATTATGCTAAGCGAAATAAACCAGTCAGAGAAAGATAAACATCACATGATCTCATTCATTTGTGGAATATAATGAACAACATAAACTGATGAACAAAAATAGATCCAGAGACAGAGAAGCATTGAACAGACACCAAACCTCAGACAGAAGGCAGGGGAGGATGGAAGTGGGGAGGGTAAGAGATCAGCCAAAGAACTTGTTTGCATCCAGATAAGCATAACCAATGGGCACAGACGCTAGGGAGGGGAGGGCATGTGCTGCAGCGCAGGAGCGGCCAGGGAGAGGTCGATGGGAGAAAAAGGAGCCAGATATAATACTTTCAACAATAAAGACTTCAAATTAAGAAAGAAAAGAAAAGAAAGAAAAGAAAGAAAAGAAAAGAAAAGAAAAGAAAAGAAAAGAAAAGAAAAGAAAAGAAAAGAAAAGAAAAGAAAAGAAAAGAAAAGAAAAAATACTGCCTGGCCGGGGTGGCTCAGTGGTTGAGCATCGACCTATGGACCAGAAGGTTGCCATTCAATTCCCAGTCAGGCCTCATGTCTGGGTTGTGGGCTTGATCCTTAGTTGGAGTTGTTCAGGTGGCAGCTAATCAGTGATTCTTTCTCTACAGTGATGTCCCCCCCCCCCGCCCCATCCCTTCATCTCTGAAATCAATAATAAAAAATATATTTAAAAAAAAATTTTTTTTTAAAGGAAATACAGCCCTAGCCAGTTTGGCTCGATGCTCGATGGATGGAGTATCAGCCTGCGGACTTGGGGGTAGAGGGGGAGACGGGGGAGGGGGGGAGGGGGGGGGGAGCCAGGATCGATTCCCATGAAGGGCACATGCCACGGTCGTGGGCTTGGTCCCCAGTGGGGGGCAGGCAGGAGGCAGCCGGTAGATGATTCTCTGTCATCATTGTTGTTTCCATCTCTCTCTCTCTTCCTTCTTCTCTGAAATCAATAAAAATATTTTCTTAAAGGAAATACAGTTGACCCTTGAACAATGCAGGGAGATGGGGCGCTGACCTCCCACATAAGTGAAAATCCATATACAACTAACATACAGGGGAAAGAGGAACATGTCAAATGACACCATGGGAAGATCAGCAAAATCCAGACCGTGGGAAACTCTACAGTTTCTTCATCAAATATATCACAAGGGGAGAGTGGGGAGGGGAGGAAGAGCCTAAGGATGAAAAGAGATCTAAGAAATACATCAAACTTTGGCAAAATAGGGATCTTATTTGGACCCCAGATTTTAAACAAAATAATTTTAAAAGTCAGAAATTGTGCAGTGACTAATATTTGATGATATGAAGCAATTATTATAATTTTAAGTGTGATAATGGTAAGGCTATGTTTAAAGAAGCATCTTTCCTTTTTGAGATAATTACTGAAATTCTTGCAGATAAAATAAAAAAGCACTTCACAAAATCACATGTACATTATGATCCTAACTCTGATCAAGAAAAGATGTATAGAATACAGGCAAAAAAAAAAAAAAAAAAGACTGAAAGATAATATTGACAGTTATCAATCTCTCTGTGTATCAGATATTATGCTGCAGTAAGAAATGACCCCCAAATATCAGGAACTTACAACAATACATGCTATTTCTCACTCATATTACATGTCCTTCTCTGGGCTCTTCATTCCAAGACCCAGGACTTTGCAAAAGTCCTTAACTAAAGTATGCCAGTCTTGTGACAGGAGAAAAAGGATGGCTCTTAGCACTTTTGCTCAGAGGTAGTGTAGGCCATTCATACCCACTCGCACTGAGCTGACCAGGGTAAGTCTTGTGGCAAAATTTGTTGTCAAGGAAATAGTAATCATCCTACAGAAAATGGTTCCATAGCAATGGACAGCAAATGTGCTATATAAATAATATAAGGCACCCTTCTTGTTAATAAGACTATGATAATTTTTAAATTTTGTTTATTTATATACTTTTTATTTTATTTTTTTAATCCTCATCCAAACAGTGAGGATATTTTTTCCATTGATTTTTAGAGTGGAAGTGAAAGGGAGAGGGGTGGCGGAGAGAAACATCAATGTGTGAGAGACACATCAATTGGTTGCCTCCCACACTCACCCCGACTCCAGACAGGGATTGAACCTGCAACCCAGGTATGTGACCTTAATTAGGAATTGAACCCCCCACCCTCTGGCGTGCAGACCAGCACTCTAACCACTAAGCAATGCTGGCCAGAGCTATTTATGTACTTTTGAGATCTTCCAACATGAATAAGTAACACCATTGCAATGAAAATTAATTTGTAACATTGATTGGCTTTTGTGTCTTATTTTTCAATTATCATCATCCTCATAATATGAGCCCCATGTGTATATATAGCCTTTAACAGCTTACAGAGCACTGTCATATGCGTTGTTATTTTAATATTCATTTTACAAATGAAGTGTCTCAAATGTATCAGTTCATTCCTATTCATTGCTCTCTGTTGCTTACTTTGAACAAGTCCAAACTCCTATCTCTCCTCCTGTCCACTAGGCTCCTTCTAAGGTCAAGTTCTCTGTGTTCTTGAGTTGATCAAGTAGCAGAAGATTGGAAAAAGGGAAGCACCCAGGGAGGGCTGGTCTGAAGATAGGTGAGAGGATAGACAGGCAGGCCTGCTGAGAAGACAGCTCTAGTGGCAGGACCTGGGGGTGGCAGGGCTGTGGGCCAGAAGGGTGGGGGTGGGCACAGGATGTAGAGTGGACTCTATTGATTTAGGTTTTGCCC